TGCAGAGCCTTGGAATTTATTCGCGAGATCCGACGGCCAGCAGACAACCAGCGCGTCCACCAAAACCATGCTACCCCGCGAATCTACTGTAAGCTCTACCCCGATTCAATGATCACTTGTTGACCATCGAACTCCACGTTCCTTGATTCGTGGTGCCCTCTCTGTCTGAGGATTTCGCTTGCTGCACTCATTGTGACAGCCACCGGCTCGGCTTGCGCACAAGGCTTTCATGCCTGCGAGGTCTACGTATGTCTACGTGTAGTGCAGCACACGCTTCAAGAATGCTTTGACTCACCGAGTCCTGCAAACCTCCGAAGATCCACAAAGCTCCTAGGCGTTGAGCTTCGTTGCCTTTGCCGCGTACGAGCTCGAGCAAATGGATCAGCAACCGGCTCAAGAAAGGATTTGATGTTGCACGGTGCGCGCATGGCATGGCATGGCATGGCATGGCCTATCATGGCATGTGTTCGATGTATCAGGTGTTGGGTGTTGGGGGTGTGCATCCCTTGTCTCTCCACTGATATTGGGTCTGATGCTGCCGGATGAAGTTACCTTCTCAAAGCAATCGCAGAAGGGCTTTCCCTGCTCTGCTACGGCCACGCACTTGTGTTGTCAGCATGCTCCCCTGGCTGGAGGAGAGGTTGAAAAGCAAGTCCTTTTCAGTATCTACGTAGCCTCGTGACGCCTGGTTTATCTTCAAGATTTGCGTGCTCCCCGAATTGGCAGGGTTGCCTGCATGGCGGATGCCTGTGCCTGTGGTCTGAGGCAGCCCCAGGTTGTGCCCAGATGGCGCACCAATGACTTGCCGCAGGAGGCAGGTACTGTTGAGCTGACATGTTAACAGATTGACACACTGCGAGCATGGCCTCAAGTTGTAGGAGGCCACGAGTTAGCCTTTACCGTCGTGGTTTAGGACACGTGCTACTCTGGGGGGTGTGGGCTGAACGAAACGAGTTCCTGTTCTGGGGCAAAAAGGGGGATTTGATTTTTGATCAAGACCCATACGAATCCTTTCACAGCACATGACCGACCCCTGTGCGGGCAATGCATTTGCATGACGCACCGATCCTTTTTTGCAACTGCTGTGAAAAAACATCTCGGAACCCAAGTGAAGCCTCCTTTCACAAACCTTTGTGCGATCGGCATGTTTGCAAATGGGTGCTGCACTGAAGCCTTGCATGTTGCTTCAATTCAATCATACGCTCACGACGATGGCAAGCAGACCAACCCCCGCACCTCTTGATCACTACGATTGAACGATTGAAACCTGACCCACAAAACCCGCGCTTCTTAAAGCTGCGTGTGCTTCACACTTCCGTTGATGCTACAATGAAATGGTAGCAACGCAAGACAACTGAGCAACAACTGCACTGTCAAATCACGCCATCATGTGCCTTGGCACATGATTTTTCACCAAAAACAAGTCCCAGGATCGTCACTCATCCGTTTACATCACGGCAAGGCCTGGCTGGCAGCTGGTTGGGGCCTTCCGCCTGTTATGCGAGAAGCCCGTCAAGGCACCCACAGCCTCCTGGTGCTGTGTTTTTTTGCAAGTATGTTCAGAAGGGTCATTCATGGACAGCATCTGTTCGCGGAAGAAGCACGTTTCCAGTGATAACTGGCGGCTCTGAACACACCTAACCTGCTGACAGGCGAACGCGCCTTCTCAAATAAGTCGAATCAGGAGGCAGAGCGACAGACAAAAACGATTGCACTGTTTTGTCTAGATCCAAAGGCAAGGGAACGTCAGCTTTCCTACCTAAAAAACAAAAGCTTGGTGAGATGTAGGAATGACCCTTCGGGCTAGATAATTCTAATTGATACTTTTGGGCGCAAATATGATATTGCGAATCGTATATTGAAAATTTCTCACCACCCCCAATTCGCCAATAATCTCGAGAAAATGGAATTCCAAAACCAACACAGAAATTGGACAATCCATAATTGGACCAGGCCCCTGCACCAATTTCTGGATAGATACATACCTTACTATCTCGAGATAATTTGATTAATATTCTTTCCGAAATGATTTATGAAGAATTAGGATTGATTTTCGTATCTTTCTTATTTAATCTCAATTTCGATCCCAATGAATCTTATATATTGATATATTGTTCTATCTAATAAAAATTCTAAAGAAATATGATTTCTTTCAATGACCTCCATAATAGATATCATATAATAAGCATAAAAAATCTCAAATATCAATCTAATTTCAATCGATGATTCGAAATCGAAAGAAATTTGAGAAGAATGATGTATACCAATTGAAAAATAGAAAAGGAATATGGAAGAAAATTCTTATTCTTTCGAACATCATGATTAAGAATAGAATTTCAAAAATAAATCTCTTTAAGAAAAGATAAATCTAGTTCAAAAGGAAAAAATCTCTATTACTCGTATCATTATCTCGAAATAAATTAAAATATAGAGGCTTGAGATGGAATATCAAAAAAGCTATCTATAAATTTATATGAGAAAATTATATGAGCGATGGATAATATGATTTATTATGGATTGAAGCCGTAGGAAATCATATTATTATTTTTTATGGTATCTATATTATTTTATATATTTGGGATATAATTCGGATAATATTATTAGGTCGATTATCTTGGACATAATTTGACAATCATAACAAATCTATATACTACGAATTTGATAAGATGGCGCAAGAGGCTTCTACTCCCAAAAGCGCCAATTTAGAAAGACCTATTTCGATTCTCAAATGTCAGAAGATTTCTATTCCTAAAAGTAAGTACTTGAAAGTTAAGCACTTGAAATAGGTCAGAAAATTCATGATGAAGGGGTGGTGGTGGGTGCATTTGCCCAATCGTGGTCCGTCTCACTTGGGATTTCGCTTGCTTTTCGTTTGTTGTGGTTCTGGGAGTTCTCTTTATTTCATTTGAGCTGATTTTTCTATCATATCTTTCTTACGATAATTGGTGTTTTTGGGTACAGATACCACTCGCACCGGACCCCTACCCCTTCTGCATAAGGAATTCTTCACATTATTGAAATCAGACTCCAGCGTCAATGATGAAGGACCATTACATACAAGAGATCATGGGAGACAAGATTTGAATGATTTATGCGTCGAAAAGCCCCCGGCATCCTAACCAATATAAATGAGAATGAAATATCGTATATAAAGAATATAGAGCCTCGATGAAGAAATTCACTATCATTGCTCCTCATACTCTCAGAAAAAGCAAACCCACCCCCACCCCGAATTAAGAGAATGCGTGGAGCAAATCCAAGACCGAAGGCAAAGACGAGGTTCTACAATCCGATGTCTCATATTCGGCGAGTTATTTTCGATTCTTTGTATTTTCATCTGCCTTAGCCATTTTGGCTCAAGGGCTCAAGAATCCGGGCCGACGGCGAGGGGGGGGGGGGGCGCCATGGAATTGAGGTGCGACCCCCCGTGCACCGCAGGGTGGCTTTGGGTTTGGTCGTCCCTGAATGTAGGAGACGATTGCGTTGCTTGCATCCGTATTTGGGATTGGATTTGGTTGATTTTCTGTGTCAGCGTCTTTGCAATTGGTCAAGTGGCGGGAGATGATAATGAGAATGATCAGAGGAGATCGGCCATTACAGCTCAGATCCCTTCAGTACGGAGGGTTGTTCGGACAGATGGTTTGTGGGTGTGGTTGCGAGGGCGAGTATTTCGGGGACCGAGGATACTCTTGTATCTCATTTGTTCGGGGATTGTTCTCCGGGGATTTGGGATTGAGCAGACAGCTTGCACATCTTTCTATTTTGGCAGCCGAAGTTCAGCCAGAGTTCTCCAGCAGGGGACTAGGTCCAGGCGACTTGGTTGGGTTTATGCCTGCCAATTATTCTATTTTCATCATTTGCGTTCGTGTGCCGCCACGGCATGGGGTGGGACAAAGAGTATGTCTAATTGTGCTGTTGTAGCGTGGCAGGCGGGCTTGGTTGCTTGCTTGTTACAACTCGGACTTCGTGTGGCGCGCCTCTTGTGGTGGGGCCAACCTCTTGCAGTTCAAGTGCAATTCACATACTTCAGTGCTTTGGTCATCTGGATAGGCTGTAGAGGGGATTGTACTCGATTCTTGGTTCTTCTCAGCGGTATTGGTTTCTGGATGGGGGATCGGCACCTTCCACGATACCTTTGTAGATGCGTCTCAATAGGCATAGGTATCTGGCTAACCGTGGATGCGCCTTTAGTCGTGAGAGGTGGGTTGCTTTTGCCGATTGGGATGTTTCCAGCTTATCCCGAGGATGCGCGACTCAGGTCTTTACGTTCTTCGGTTGCTGCCCCTATGGATATAGATCTTGTTGCAGACGATGCGAGTGGATTGAAGCAGGGTTTGCCCTCGTCGGGTAGCTCGCGTTCGGGGGCCGATTCTGCTCCTATGGACCTTGATGAAGGTTCTCAGGAAGTCGACGTGCGGGTAGCTAGAGACTTGGCTACGCTTTTCGGGGAAGATATTCCTAAAGCTCAATTGTTGAGGGAAGAAAGTGGTACCGGTGCTCATGCTTCAGCACGCTCTAAACCCTACACTTGCCCGGTCCTTGGGTGCGCGCGCCATGTCGATCGTGATGGGATTGGATTTCCTTCGTTTGATGCTTTGAGGGCGCATGTTGATCTCCACTTGGGTCATGAGTTATTTGGTTCAGTGCCCGAGGGTTGGTTAGGCGCTCAAAACTTGTCGGCATGTCGGGTATGCGGACTCAGCATTTCGTCCAAAATTCGGGATTGTATACATCCTAGATGCCGTTCACGTTTGGCAGCCCAACCCCTGGATCGAATGCCCGAAACCCCCGCTGACCCACGCCTTCCCACCCTTGAGGAGATCTTCGTATGTAACGTATTGACCAAGGAATATCTCCCTGCCTCTCTTATTCCCCTTGCCCGCGAAGAATACGGCAAGATACTCACCCGCATTATACAATTCAATCGCAGTGATGCTTGGGATTTACAGGTTGATTCTGAGGCTAAGCAGCGTTGTCGTAGGGCGTGGGTTGAGTTTTTCATGTTTGGGAAGTGTTGTCTCCGACAAGCTAGCCGTGGCCAACGACCTTCCCAGGCTTCCCATTTTACCCAATCGCTTCTCCTCCGATGGAAAGCCGGAGACAGGTATGGCTTGTGGTTGGAGGCCCGTGCTGCTGGCGAACGTAGATCGCGTAAAGGCGTGGGGGGCAAGGGCAAACGTAGCCACGTGAGTCGCGAGGTCGAACGTTTGGTTTCTTTGGGAAGATCGGGTGAAGCCGCGCGGCGCCTCGTGTCGCCCGGATTGGCCGAAGATACCCCTCAGGTCCGCCAACGATTGCTTGCCAAGTTTCCTCCACGAGACGGTCCTGTCATCTCGTCCGATGGAGTCGCGCCGCCCCCGGATATCCCAGCCGATGTCGTCTACAAGGCTGTCTTCTCCCTCAAAAAGGGGGCAGGGCCGGGGCCTGATGGGATACGTGGGGACTTCTTGCGCGATTTGCTTAGCCAGCGCCCGGAGGAGGAGCCTCTCGGTTTGGTATATCGTGAGTTTGTGCAGTTGTTAGTTAATGCGGAGGCGCCGTCTTTCTTGAGAAGTTTCCTTGGGGGTGGGCGCTTGGTCGGTGTTGGGAAGAAGGATAGTGAGGGTCGGCATGTTGGTTTGGATGCTGATGCTCGTCCGATCGTCTTGGGTATGACTTGGCGCAAGGTTGCATTCCGTTGCACCCTTGCCCTGGACAGGGATAGTATCCGGGACCGCTTGGGCGCTCAGCAGTTGGCCTTGACGCGTGGGGGGGCCGATGTTTTGGTGCATGCTGCGCGGGGTTGGGTTCGACGCCATTGCTCTCGCCCCTCGGCGGTCGTCCTTCAAAAAGACGTCCGTAACGCGTTCAATGAAATCCGACCCCGCGAATTTCTGCAAGATTGCCGGGCTCACGCGCCGACGTCTGCTCGTTTTGCCCACTTTTGCTATGGGGATAGCACCCACCTCGTATACGGGGATAACTTGGAAGGCTCGCATCGAGGACAACAAGGATGCCCCCTCATGGCGCCCATGTTTTGCTTGTCTCGGCGTCGTATGTTCGATCTCGCGCGGGCGGAGTGTAGGCGGGTGCCTGAATTCGAGGTTGAATTTGCCGATGATGCTTACAGCGCGGGCGAGGTGGAAGATGTTCTGGGCGCCTTTAAAGCGGAAATAGCCTTGTCGGAACGGTTCGGTCTTCACTTCGATTTCTCTAAGTGTACCCTCTACCTTCTTGCGGGCGAGCAATTTCGGGGAGATATCTCAGAGTTCCAAGCTCTTGGGGTTAGGGTCGTCACTGGATCCGAGCTTGCTATCTTAAAGACACCGGTCCATGGGACGGCTGCATTTGGCAAAACTTTCCTTGCCACTAAGATTGGGGAGTTGCAGGAGATGGCCGACGCAATCCAGCAACTGCCTACTAAGCATGTCGCCTTCCACTTACTTAGGGAAGCTCTTTCTTGGGGCAAGATCCAGTATTGGGCCCGGACGTCTCCGAGAGAATATATCTCTACTTTATTGGAGGCCTTTCACACGATCCAGCGTCAGTGCTTGGAAGGAATCCTGGGCAAACCGCTCACTTCCGCGCAATGGTTGCAGAGCCGCCTTCCTGATCGCTGCGGGGGCTTGGGATTGTTGGCTTGTCGTTATGAACAGGGAATGCAAGTCTTTCAAGTTGCCGATCTTGCCTATTTGGTCTCTAGACGTCAGAGCCATAGCCATGTTGCACGGCTTGTTCCAGGCTACGAGCAGGTTGTACCGACTTTGGAGGCGTCCGCAGTTCAACACCTCACTGCTTTCCTACCAATCGGCCAAGATAAGATCAATCATCCCGAACATGCTTTGGATCAGTCCCAGATCTTGGATCGTATGTATAATTCGGTTTTTCAAACCTTGTTCGATGGTAGTACTTTGAGTGTTCAGGTTCTTCTTCGGTCAGTCGCTGCGCCGGGGGCTAATGCGTGGTTGCACCACGCTCCTTCTCCTACTCGTGATTTATTGTATTCCAACGCTGCATTTGTGGATGTTGTCAGTTTGCGGCTGGGAATGTCATTATTTGACGAGGGGGATGTCTGCCCTTATTGCAGTCATGCGTTGGACCCATATGGGCACCATATCTTAGGATGTATTCGCCAGGGCTGCAAAAGTGGGATTCATAACAGCTTACGTAATACTGTCTTTCGGTATGCGCGCCTTGCTGGTTTGAATCCTGTTTTGGAGGCTACAGGTCTTTTGCCGGACGATCCGAATTGTCGACCAGCTGATGTGTTAATCTCGGCACCCCCAACCCTTCGACAAAATTCTTGGTCTAAGTATCCTCGAGTTGCGTTGGATGTGGCGGTGACTAGTCCTTTTCAATCTTCAGCCTTAGCTACTAATGCCACCGGGGCATTGCGGGCTGCGTCCCAATATGCCCAGCGTAAGCGCGCGCACGCGGCTATCGCTGCGAGGTGCGCTGCAGTTGATCTCGGCTTCGAGCCTATCGTCTTCGAGAGTTTGGGTGGTATTGAACAGGGGGCTCGGGACTTGTTAGTTAGTTTGTGTGGTCGGGTCGACGAGCGTAGTCGGCGTGCGGCGGGATGTTCTTTTCAGGAATGCTTGGGTCGTTTGAATTTCGATCTACAGAGGGGGCTCCATAGGGCCATTGAAGCCCATCGGATGCTTCGGATGGGACATTTAATGGGTCCTAATGCCATCGCAACCTTCTTGGATTTATGCGAGTAATTCATGAACATTCTCTTTCATTTGAACCCTTTGCAGGATGCCCCTCACGCAGGATCATGGACCGAGCCTAACTTCTGAGTATGATGGATATTTGTGGAGTTTGAAGTCACGTTTTGTGCCGTCGGAATACTTTATTTCTTTCGATGGCTTGTCTCACGTTTGATAGATGCCTTTGGGAATCTTCGATTCTCTTTTCCCTTTCGTCTTTCTGGGATGCCTCGTAATTGGGGGTGGTGGCGGGCTTTTAAGCACGTCGAGGCGTCTTGGAGAGCTCGAAATTCTTCTTGTTTTTCTGGCTATGGATTCCCTTTCAGTTGCTTGGGCGCACATGCCGCTTGGGCGAGGAGTTTCACTTAATTCGCAAGATAATTGGTGCTTTTGGGTGCAGATGCCACTCGGCCCGAATCCACCTGGGAGTTCCTTTGAAGGTCTGGGAACAAAATTATCACAACACCTCGCGCGCCATCACATCTAGTTCCACTACAACATAAAAGGGATCAAAATTCTCCCAGATCCTTACGTGCCACCACATCTATACATCTAGCTCCATCACAACATAAAAACAGAACAAAATTGTCCCAAAACCTCGCGCGCCAACATATCTAGCTCCACCACAACATAAAAGGGAACAAAATTGATATAAAACCTCTCGTGCCAATACATCTATAGATCCAGCTCCACCATAAAATGCAAGGGAATAAACACTGTCTCAAAACCTCGTGTGCCAACACATCTAGCTCCACCCCCACATGAAAGGGACCAAAGCTGACGCAAAATTTCGTGTGCCATCACATCCATACATCTAGCTCCACCACAACATAAAAAGGAAAGAGAAATTATCACAAGATCTCGTATGCCAATACATCTATACATCTAGCTCCACCACAACACCAAAAAAGGGAACAAAATTATCCCAAATTCTGGCGCCTCCACCACAACGTAAAAGGGAACAAGATTCTTCAATACCTCGTGCGCCAATACATATATATGATTCAGCCCCGGCGGGCCCCCGCCCCCTCCCCCTACCCACCCCCCCCCCCCCCCCCCCCCCCCCCCCCCCAATGGTACCCCCCCCCCCCTGTGGTGTGGTTGGGGGTTGGTTTTAGGGTTTTAGGGTTTGGTTTAGGGTTTAGGGTTTAGGGTTTTAGGGTTTTAGGGTTTTAGGGTTTTAAGGATTTAGGGTTTAGGGTTTAGGGTTTAGGGTTTAGGGTTTAGGGTTTTAGGGTTTTAGGGTTTTAGGGTTTAGGGTTTAGGGTTTACGGTTTAGGGCTTTAGGGTTTAGGGTTTAGGGTTTAGGGTTTAGGGTTTAGGGTTTTCCCCGCGGATGGGGTACTAAGATGATCCCCCCCCCCTGTGGTGTGGTTGGGGGTTGGTTTTAGGGTTAGGGTTTAGGGTTCAGGGTTTTAAGGTTTAGGGTTTAAGGTTTAAGACTTAAGGTTTAGGGTTTAGGGTTAGGGTTTAGGTTTTAGGGTTTAGGGTTTAGGGTTTAGGGTTTAGGGTTAGGGTTTAGGGTTTAGGGTTTAGGGGTTTAGGGTTTAGGGTTTAGGGTTTAGGGTTTAGGGTTTAGGGTTTAGGGTTTAGGGTTTAGGAACCGTAGAGTAGACTTGGGGGGGGGGGGATACCATGGGGGGGGGCCCAGGACGCTGGACGCTGAACCATATATATATCTAGCTCCACAAAATACAAGGGAATATAAAAATCGCAAAACCTCGCGCGCCAATCCACCACATGAAAGGGAACAAAATTGTCACAAAACCTCGCGTGCCACTACATCTATATATCTAGCTCCACGCAATTTTGAAAAGGATCAAAATTCTCATAAAACCTCGCGCGCCAACCCATCCATACATCTAGCTCCACCACAACATTAAAAGGGAACAAAATTGTCACAAAACCTCGCGCACCAATGCATCTAGCTCCACATCATAATTAAAAAGGAACAAAATTATCACAAAGCCTCGCGTGCCAACACATTCAACTCCGCCACAACATTAACGGAACAGAATTGACACAAAACCTCGCGCACCAACACATCTGGCTCCACGGGCGGCCAAATGAATATCGTAGGGTTATCATTTGAATATCGCTCCATAACAAGATCCAAATACCGAACTCATGAAAATATTCAGAACGACTTCGCTTTTGGAAGGACCTACCATATCTCGAGATTTCAAGCATAAATATAATAGTAATCTAAGAAAGAAACCTTAAAAATTGCCATTCCTCTATCCCATTTATTATTTCCAATATCGCCCCACTAGCCTCTTTATTCATATACATCAGAAAAAAATAAGAGTTGACCCGCTGCTTCCAGCAGCAGCGTGCAGCCAAAATTCGAAGCTCGGAAGTGCTTATGTTACAAGTTCCCAAATTCTTAAATTTGTTCAATATTTTAGAATGCCAAATTATGGCCGAAGATCATTAAGCGGCCATTCTATACGTATCGTAGAAGAAACCAATAATCATATAAATATAATTATCTTCATATTTTATTTTTCGCCAGACGAAATATTTTATTCTAAAGACAATACTGTATAATTAAGCAACCTATATTGAACAATATCATTCAAGACCTTAAAATACCTAGTATCAGTAGATTAGGAGAGATCTCCGTGCGAGAAACTTATGTTCCCAGAAATACGAATTAAGTATCGTCTCAAAAATACCAAATAGAACAAAAGCACGAGTTAAATATCCTCTATCGTTGAGAGACTTCTACTCCCATGAAAAAGAAAATGCTTAGGAATTATACTTCAATGTGTCCATTCGAGAGCCACGAACAATACCCACGAAAGCACAGAGTCCTTATACTCCCAAAGGAAAAGACCCGTCACCACCCCGAATTACGGGAGTACGAGGAACCCAAGAAGCAAGGGAACCAACACGGGACTCTAGAACTTAAATTTATAAGCAGTCAATTGAGATAAGAAATATATTTCAAGACGCTTAAATGAAAATAACCTTCTTCTACTGGCGCCAAAGGCGGACTATCCAGAAATTATAAGAAGATCGTTCGTTGAGATGCCAATAATCGGCCAATCAACCACCAAATAGGAATATAAATTCCACATGGTTTTAATAACTAGAATATGAATATTATCATTTCCTCACATTCCAAAAATTCGTAAGAGATTATCTATAAGATGATATGGTACGAGAAATATATATTCTCAAAAAATATTAATTAAGAGAATTCATTATTCCTCCCATTCAAAATCGAAATCACCATCACGAACTTCCGAACGATATCAATGAAATCAAAATATTCGCCCTTAGAATCCAATCGTAATATTCTTCCCTTCATATCCTATTATTGAGGAATGAAGATAGGAACCAAGGGCCGACGAAAAGGAAAGGGCAAAGGAAAAGGCTCTCCCGATCGACGCTTCTTCAAGAAAGGCTCAGGCATCTCATTTTGCCGATGATCAATCCCAAGTCGATGCTTGGCATATATATATATCTATTATTATATATTGAAATCAAAATATTCATCCTTAGAATCCAATTATAATATTCTGCCCTGCATATCCTATTATTCTATATTAGGATATCCCCTCAGCGCAGGTGAGCTATGACGAATGATGGAAGATGGATATATTTCTTTTTTGGTATTCATGGGAATGGAAGCCTGCTACACCGGAAGGATGACATTTCTGGTTATTCACGAATTTTTTAGGTTATGGAATTTCGTTTCTCCCTTAGGAGCAGAAATCTCTTGCGTCGATATTGGGAATCTTTTTCTTTCTCTAATTGGTGCTTTTGGGAGCAGAAGTCTCTTGCCCCGAAATTTGATTTTGCATTTCAATGGGACGTGTCGTATTCTCGGAATTTCCGATGTCTTTCTCTTCTTTTCGTCTTTCTGGGATGCCCTTTGTAATTGGGGGTGGTGGTGAGCTTTTAATTTTGAGCACGATGGGGCATCTTGGAGAGCACGAAATTCGTGTTATGGCTCTTTTAATTTGAATTGGTTCTCGGATTTCACTTCGTTTCTTAATTGGTGCTTTTGGGAATAGAAGTCTCTTAGACCGACGACTCGGGAGGGTATTTTTATCTTTTCCTTAAATCCATAAGAATATTTCCATATTATAAATGAAATCATAAATATGAAATCATAAATATGATTCATATGGGAATTAATAATATCCATGGACCGACCATGACGCCTCGGAATAATGACCGATGCTTGGAATATTAAATATACGAACAAAAGAATAAATCTGTGTATTATAAATATACGATGATATATAATCCCCCCCACGATGATAGACGATAATATACGATAACATATGGTCCTTATTTTGAGAGGGGAGAAATCGAAAAATTATCGATATCTAGCGGGGCAAGGGCCTAAACCACTAGGGGAACCACTAGGGTTTGGGTCTTCAGGACGACCAACATGGCCAAGGTGAGCAGGGCTTCGGACCAAACCACTAGGATAACCATCAAGAGTGAAGGGGGTGGAGCCTAAACCGCCAAGGTAACCACTAGGGAGACACTATTGGTCAGCAAAGCAACTGAGCTTCAAGGGGAAGGGACCTAAACCACTAGGGTGATCAAAAGGGATTACAAGAAGCAAGCCGGGCGGCCCTTGCAAGCACAGAGCAGAAAGATCAGGAAGACTAGAGATATCCCGACAAAGATTAGGGCCTAAATCATCCAAGAAGCAAGTGATTGATCCTCCTTAGGTTTCCTAGAAATGAAAGAATATTATTCAAATCTTTAAGTAAGCAAGATATTCAAACAATAATATTATCAAAACTACAAAAAGAATTCTCTTAATAATATTTCCGTTCTCCTAAAAATATTTCCACGAAACATTGAATAAATAATATAAAGCACCCCCACCCTTAGAAATATTTCCCAGAATAAAATCATAATAACCCACGAAAACGTACGATAATATATAGGCACAAGATAACGCAAAATCAAATGGACGTACGAAAATATAGACGCGTGACGACGCTTCCCCGCACGACGACGCACCGACAGCATACAAACGACACACGACGACCCGCCGACGACACACCGACGACGCACCGACGACGCACCGACGACGCACCGACCTCGCACCGACGACACCGCGATGACGCACCGACGACGAGCCGACGACGCACCGACGACGCACCGACAACGCACCGAACGTCCTCAATTAATATCCTGCTCGAAGAGTTCAATCGAGACTTCTACTCGAAAACCCTCCGGTCCAAAGAAACACAAGCCAATATCTCCCATCTAAACACACGAATCTTACAAAAGAAATCGGATTGTTATCCTCGAAATTTGTAAAAGAAGTATATCAATCAAATAATCTAGAAAGTACGATATTCGTGAATCACCCATACAATAATCATTCATCAATATCATATTATTCGGAGACACTTATAATATTTTTAATGAGAATATCCTCAATTAATATCAATCAAAAATCGAATTTCCAAATCTTACCTCATCATGCCTATAAGAAAACTTTGATCAGTTCATAAAACTCTTGTTCTACAAAGTTTTGACCCACCAGTCCATGTAAATATCGCGCCGATTTAAGATTGAGAATTCTGATCATTTCCAAAAACCATCCTGGCCAAGTGGCCCAGTTCGTCCAAGATCTCAATGGAACACGGGCATTTCGGCCCATCTCATGCCCAGAAGAATATGTGGCTTAGTTCAATACGATCCTTTTAGATTTAGGCTTTCTCTGATGCACGTGAGCATCCCCACACCCCATCCGGCAGATGGGTCCCGCCAGGGATTCATGATCTTTTGAGATCAGCCCCAAACCCTAAGCCCCATGCAATGAAACGCAATACTGATTCCCCTGATTTTGACTTAGCATATCCCCTGCGCTTAGCCGGCGGAGTTAAATCTGACTGGCCCTCCCGGGCATAACATCGGGCCATCCTCAGCGGCCAGCAAAGCCGAAGCTTGCGCTCGGGAGGCTTCGGTTCATGATCTGCCCATGATTCCGGCACCCGCGTGCACGGGGGCTCTGCAGGTTGCGGCTCTCTTCCAGCTGTCCACCTTAGTCTCAACCAGCCACAGCCACAGAGACCAAGGCAACGAGCTGCGAGGACACCAAGGACGATCCCCACAGTTAATGGTTCCCATGGCTCCCATTTCGCTCAAGTTCGTAGATCTCAATGTGGTCTGTGTCGAACTTGAGGTCCAAGTAAGTGTCGAACTCTGCGTGGATGTGTGTGAAGATGTGATGGAAGTGGAAGACTCCGTCAAGTGCGGTCACAGCGCTTCGCAAATCATCGTAGAATTTTTCTTGGAGCGTCTCATCGCCAGGATTATTTAGCCAGGCAACCTTGATGTTTTGGACTTCTATTGCAAGTTTAGCTGCCCTTTCTATTGATTTCGGGACATTAAGGTCAGGGTGAAGCATGCCCTTGGTTTCCTCAAGCATCTCGTCTTTGAACTCCTTGGTCATCAATTGCACCACTGGCTCCTCGGACTCGGGGAAGTTAGATTAGCCCAAAGCTTGCGACATAAAATGCCAGAGAGCGGGTGGAAGTAAGGTGTAGGATTTGTGACCACTGTTGCTCTGCCGATATCTCTCGCTTTGCGCCCCTCAGTATCATGCGGAACAGCTCGACAATGACGTCGCCGCCAACCCTCTTAGTGCCCAACCAGTCTCTTTGAACGAGTCTTGATACTGCATTGAAGGGGGGGGGGGGCTTCCAAGGGCCTGAAAAGGGTACAAAATGGCGTGAAGCACTCATGTTGTCCAGGGCTGCGCACGGGTCTGCACAAGGACATCCAAATCCCCCTCGCATCCAAGACACTCTGCTAGATCTGGCCGCTCGGTGCACCTAGCACCATAATTGCAGCAGTTACGCAACGAAGCGTCATCGCCAAAAAAGTCCTCGTGGACCTACGACTCGACAACTGAAGGTACAGGCTGGCTCCACCAATAACAGCTGCATCATGCTGAATGTTTTGCAAGAGATGTGAAAGATCAGCCTGGGCAATGTATGCTGCCATGCGAACGGCGTCCTGCCATCATCTACTGCTACACTTCTGCAACAAAGCGTCTACCTCCATTCATATCACTTTCCATTCGCAAAATCAAACGAACATCAGACGCATGTGCAAGTGGTCATGTTCATGCGGCAAGTAAAGCAACAGGTGAAACTATGAAGCCACCAAACATGTGGTACACGTTAATCAAGCGTGGATCCACGCTCCAAGTAAGGCATGCAACTGGGCGAAACCTTCATTGCCCAAGTTCATTGATATCATCATCTCATTCTGAGCCATGTAATCCAGATGCACAGTTAAGATCCAGAAATTCCCCAACAATGGATACGCTTATGGGGTCTACAGTCTACAATCTGTAAAGCAAAGGAGCGGTGACTAGGTTTTCGGGTCACGGGTTCCCGAGAGCGTAATGACTGTAAAACTGGGCCTGGCGTCCGTAATTCAAAATCATCCATGCTTGGGGCGGCGCGAGACGGCCTTTTGGTCCGAGTATGTCTCTTGCAGGGAGAGAGAGATCCCAGTGTGCTGGCAACGTAGGACGAATATGTAACCTTTCGCCGGAACACGTTTCTTGGCGCATGGAGAGATCCAAGTGTGCTCACAGCGTGTGAACACAGCAGTCTTGTCGCAAATGTAGCCCATGCTTAAACACCCACCCCTTCCAACACAGCCTTTCGCCGGGACACGTTTCTTGGCGCATGGAGAGAGATCCAAGTGTGCTCACAGCGTGTGAACGCAGCAGTTTTGTGGGATGCGTGATTGAGCATCATTTGGCCTTTTCGTTAGCACCGCTGTTTCCACATTTAAGCACTTTTTCTCACTAAAAAAACACCCTAAACGATTGACGGAAAACAGTCCTTATTTAAGGTTTCCAACCTTAAATAAGGCAACGCACCTTGAATTTAAGGTGTTTTTTCCTGTATTTAAAGACTTTAGACCTTATTTAAGCACTTTTAGTCCTTCATTAAGGAAAACACTTTAAATAAGGTGTCTTTTTAAGGAAGGTTTCCTTATATTGTGGTGCTTTTTCTGGTTTAAGGTCTTTTGGAAGCTCTGGGATGAAAAGGCTCTCAGCCATGGAAGTAGGCGCGTTACCTTTCCTTTTCAAGCCACAAAGGCGGTGAGGGAACATGTCAACATGTCAATGATCTTCTTTTAATTCCAGTAAAACGCATCAACATCAGATAACAACAATGCCAGCTGCACGTTGACATCTGATGTGATGTCCAGCAACTCGTGCTGCGGAGGCGCACCATGAGTGATCGTCTAATTCGCCTCGGCCTCCGGCCGAGAGGCGTTTGGAACAAGCAGACACGGGATCCGGTCTCCTTCCCCCCCTAACCCAACCCTTCCCCCCTTTTTGCGACTTTAGTGACGCACCCCCCCCCCCTCGCCCTGTGGGACCCCCCCAGATCGCTTGGAGGAGCTGCAAACCGATCCCGTGGCGGGTCTTGCCTGTCGGCAGCTCCTACAGGGAGGGCGGCCAAAAACCTGCCGCAAAACTTGATCCCCCGCAGACCCCCCCCCGGGACCCCTCCTGGGATCCCCCCACAGAATTTGTACCCCTAAATCAGTAAGATCTAAACCCTAAACCCTAGACCCTTTAGCCTTGTAGCTTGCGGTATGTTGCAAAAGTACTGACCTTCAAGCCTTAAGCAAGAACCCCTAAACCAGCAGCCCTTAAAGCTTCTAAGCTCAGCCAGAAACTTGTATCTCGTTGCAGTCGCCTTGCAAGGTTTCGAAACAGGATTCACACGCAATTTGGTGGGGTTCTGAAGCCAGGACCCCTTCATGGTGTTTAGTGCTTGTTTTGGGCTTTAGGGTGCCTTTGGGGGAAGCTGGGTTTAGGGGGCCCTGACTTAGAACAACCTCATTTCAGCGCGCCCCAGGCTGTTGCTTGGAGCCTCTCGAGCTGGACAATTCCTTATTAGGGCAAGGAGCTAGCAGCTGATGGCTCCTGGACAAAAACTCAACTGCCTTTTCTTCGTATTTCTCCTTGCCTATGCCCAATGATTCAGGGAAGTCTCGGGGGGGGGGGGGGAGGGGCCTAGGGCCTAGACTCTCGCTAAAGATGCTCAATGAAGGGAGAAGCCTCAAAGCAAAGGCCCGGTCCAAAGGCCAGAAGGGGCCAAAGGATGGCTCTCAATTGTATGGCCGTTACTCGGCTAGCCGCAATGTGTATGCGGGGGCACTTGACAGCGGCTCTCCTCGGTTCTCTTCGAGTTCTCAGATGATGTCATTGAGGTAAGGTTGGTGCTTGTACTGTGGGATTTGGGGTGTGGGAGGATTGGGGTTTAGGGCTTAGGATTTAGGACCGTTTAGGATGTAGGGTTTTCGGTTGAAGGAGTTCTCCGACGAAGAGCCGGTTCTTTGGACGCCGTTTTTCAGCGTCTCGACAACAGATTAGAAGGATGCACACGGAATCAGCGAGAGCACGTGGCATCTGATGAACACAACCGGCCTCACTCCACTCTACTAACGGGCTTGGGAACTACAGGGTTTAGGGTTTAGGGTTTGTAGGTTTTGGGCTATGTTCTATGCTACAATACGGTTTGTAACCTACGCAAGTATATAAAGGGCCCCTACCATACTTCTGCGCAACTGAGAAGAATTTTCAGATCAACCTCCACCTAGCAAGTAGTCCAAGTCGGACGCCCTTGTGAAACTTGAAACAACTTAGTTTAAAGCTTGAAGAATGTCTCAAGTAAGTGCAAGCGCCTCTGATTTCTTGAGTGTTTTAGAGGATGGGTGTAAAGTCAGAGTTTAGGGTTTATCAGTCTCGAGAAAGATTCTTGCAGGAAAGCTGCCGCAGTCCGTCAGAGGCTATAGTCACCATATTTGGTCAACTCTGATAAGAAGCCCTGAGCCCCAAACACTTGGGTTTTGGTCTGGAGGTCATATTGGAAGCTGCTCCTTCACAACACTCATACCACTCTACTGAGAATGGCCTTTGGCCCCTGGGCCTCTGATTGTCACCAAACCCTAAGGGCGGCCGAAGGGCTTCGGATTTCTATGCATCTTTCGCACCTTCCTGGTCTTCTGTCACCTGCACGAAGTGAACCTGACGACTGGTTTCCAAGACAATGGGGTTGTCCAGTGGGCCGCAACTCTAACCTCCACAGACTAGACTTGCAAGATCATCCAACAGCGACTACGCGACGACATTTTTAAAAAAAAACTACAATAGGAAGGAAGGGTTACGCCGCACCCGGCCTTTGAAGCCCTTGAAAGCGAACCCTACCCCCGGCTGCGGTCTGCACAAACAACTTTTCTGTCACAATATAACGTGAGCATGACGAGAACAATGGCGTAGAAACTCTTGCTGGCTGAAATGTGCAAGTAAGGCATCCAAAATAAGCATGTAAGTACTCCAGCAAAGGAACTTCTCATTCGGGAAGCAGGGTTGTTCATCAGAAGCTTGGATCACAAAGCTACGGAAAGAAGCCAGAAAGACACGTACTACCTCCGTACTAAGATGCGCACTACTTCCATCTATCGTCTAAACCCCACACCCTAAACGCTACCTCGGCAGATTTTTACGACGTCGACAAACTGTAGTTCGACGATAGGTTCTCAACAAATGCGAGGGGGTGGGTTGCAGGCTTAGGGCCTTCAGCTCTGCTCTAAACCCCAAAAGCTGCTACTGCCATGTACGATACCGAGGAACGCTCTGACCGTATCTGTTGAGATCACTCATGTGGTCCGCCGCAGCCGCCTCGCTCTGGTACCTTGGGGTTTCGTACGGGTTCGGGCTTTTTCGGGCTTTCGGGCTGTGGGGTTTAGGGTTTGAGGGAATCCGGGCTTGGGAAGTTTAGGTCAAACCATGTCAAGCTGGAGGTCAAAGCTGTCAGGGTTCTTAAGGATGTAGGAGATGTAGGGTTCAACATGGTTTCAGGCTTAAGGGGTTACCCGTTTGGAAGGCGCAAACCTGTTTTTTGGAGGCACCCTGAACCTTAAATGAACGCCTTAAACTCACGATTGACATTCTCAAGGTCACACTTAAAGCTTAAACCTGAAACGAAATCTAAAATCCAAAAACCTTCAAACCCTTCACGCCAAGTGGCACGACTGCCTCGAGGGTTCCCACACTGACGCCAGTTTGTTTGTTGGTCACATTGAGCCTGGAAGGCTTCGGGTTTTCAAATTGTAGCGTGCGACAAATTGTCTTCGAGGACTGAAAATCCGGGTGTAACCCTGGCCAAACTCTAGACTCTAAACCTAAACCATCAACGGCGAGTTCTTGGACCCGGTCCAAAAAGGGCACGGGGAAAAAAAAACCTACCCTGGCCGCTATGATTTGCGCTCGATGCATGGTTTAGGGTTGAGGGCCATAGAACACACAAAAAACCCTCACAGGGGAAGATAGACCTGCACTCCAAATCCATCCAATTCCGGCGTGACCTTAGCTAAGACTATCGCAACGAATCTTGAGGCCCGGCCCCCGTGCAA